AAAGGGGATATATAGTTTAGTAGTATAATGGTTTTTATATAGAGGCTATTATGGAACATCTTGCTAAACGATATTTTAATGAATTTTAAATCAACAAAAGCTGAAATTATTTGCTACGCGGACGACATATCTATTATATGTTGGCATTATAATTTAGAGGGTCTAAAAACTGAGTTAGTGAACACCCTAAACTATGTCACTCAATGGTGTCGCTCAAACAAGTTAAAAATAAATCCAGAAAAAAACAAACTTGATTCACTTTCACAATTTCCATAGGTTCCAGTTGGAATTTCAAAAAACCATCATAAAGCCTTCAAATGAAATCAAAAATTTGGGAATGAAATTATCTAATCATAGGTTCAAAACAAAAATAAATTTCACCCCGCACATCAATGAGATTTTGCATAAAGCGCATCGCATGAAAAATCTGCTTTTTTCCCTCAGCGGCAAAATATGGGGTATAAACTCTAATAAAAGGTTAATTTTGTATAAGACGCTAATTAGACCTATTCTAACATATGGAGCTGAAATTTGGTTTTACCAAATAAATAACCGCTGTAAACAGAAATTAAATTCGATGCAATACCAAATTTTTCTTTGGGCTACTAGATCGTTTGAAACATCTTCATCAAATTGTGTCCACTGTCTGGCAGAGATCCCATTCCTGACTGATTTTATCGAATCAAGATTGATTAAATATGAATTGGACCAACTAAGCGAGGAAGACCAACGAACGTTCAGTCCACATTCTCTTTCAATAATAAATGGATTTTTAAGAACAAGAATGGAAGATATGTTTTCTAATACAAGCGATCACTTTCGTCTCTTTTTCCCTTTGGGCATTCCCAAATATTTCCGCCCTGACTTTTACAATGTGCAATTCGTTACTGGTCATGGAAATTTCGGAGATTTTCTGTTTCGAATAGGAGCTAGAGACGATCCGGGATGTTTATGTGGAAAGAGAAAGCAGGATCCCAGTCATCTGCTTCTTGAGTGCCCAATCTCCCAGAATTACAGAAACCGGGAAAACATCGAATACAAGGATCTTTTTATGTTTGTAAATAGTAAGGACTCGTATTTTAAATTTAGAAAATTCTGTAAATATATCTATGATTTTCTCTTTTGGTTAAAAAAACCTTAATTATTACCTATTTGTATATTTTTGGTTTGTTTATTTTGTTGGTTGTGATGTAAAATCAAGAATGATTTTAATGTCCTCTATTCTTATCTTTTCAAATCTTGAAATTATTAATTTTTTTTTTTTTGTAATATAGTATCTGAATTTAGTGTTGTCATTGACGCAAGCATCCCTTGTAGGGATATCGCGTCTGATTTGATAAATAAATAAATAAATATAGAGGCTATAGGATAATAAAAAGAGATTATTGAAAAACAAATTAGGCATACCCTGACCTGTAACCTGAGCGTTTTTCAAATGCCAGAGCGCCATTTACTGGTACAAAAATCAACTACCATTAAAATAGAGGTTGTGCCTGGCAGGCATTCATAGTTCTTAGAATTGAAGATACTTCGGCCAGTATAAATATTTTTATTATATCTATTGGAAATATTTATTGGTCAAAGTATCTTTAATTCTAAGAAATCAACTAAACGTTGATTTAACCTATTCACTGATATTTGACCAAACTGTTTTCTTGATAAATTAAGAAAGGCCAACCACATGAACGCGTTTCGGGCTGTTGGCCGACGTCATCGTGGTGCAGTGTGTAAATCTAGAGAGAGAGTGTTTGTGTATTGTTAAGAAATAGGTTTATTTTGCTCTTTAAAATATCAATATACATAGTAACTCTGTAAGAAGAAATTAATATAAACATAATGATTAGAAAATTTTGTAATTAGTTTTCAATATGTTCTAATTATCATAAATCAACAATTAACACATATTAATATTGATAATTTGAAATTAAAAATAAAAATTCATGCAAATAAAACAAATGAATAAGTAAAAAATCTATTAAATGATATTTGTAAAGTAGAAATCAATTTGTTTGTTGATATCTCACTACTATAAAAATATAAATAAATAGATATAATCCAAAGTTTACTAGGAATCGAAGAATGGATACCGGGAAGTGTAACAATAGTTTGTTCCTTAATGGCAAGTTTTCCAAGAAGTATCTTGGAGATTAAATTTCTGTGACCTGCTTCTTAATAACTGCTATTTATAAATTTAGATTGAATTTTTGGTTCAACTCCCAAATACAACTCAGAGATAAAATGCTTCTCTCCTAGTTTTAAAATCAGGATTTTAAAAGAAAAAATAGATAAAAGTAGAAAAGATATACTCGCGTTAAAGACACTCAATAAAAAACCTTATATTTTGTTTGAGGGGAAAATTATCAGACAATTTTAAGTCTACATAACTATTCTTTTGTGATTTATTTATTAGAAAACGACTTTTCAAAAAATATTTATCAAACTTGCTTTTATAGCAATTCAAATATCCCCGCCCTCTTTATGATGAAAGTTTTTTTTTTCCTTTTCAAATATTTTTTATTCTACTCGAGGTTGACTTTTTCATTCTAGTTTGACTTCAAATTCCACCGCGCTACTGATAAAAACTCTCCCAATAAATACTGAATTCTCACTCACCTTTCTCATTTTGAGACAACCTTTAACCTATATTTATATATATATATTATAAATTTATTTATTAATATCATATATATAAATAAATAAATACTATAACAACATTCTCTTATAAATCTGTAGGTATCAATTTATATAGTAAACTATCGATATTTCGTAGTACTATTGAAAAAATCAAACAACAAAGTTGCCAAAAGATTCATTTGAATGTAAAATATTAGAATATTGACATTTTTCGCTATATTTTATTAATAATGAAATAGGGGTTTGAATATTTATATTTAAGTCAACATTTCAATTTGGTGTACTATACAGGAAATTGTACTTAGTGATACAAGAAAGTATATTTTTCACATTTTCCGATATTTAATATATCCCCGATATTAATTCTGATATTTATTTTTTTCTACTTTGTTAATTTCTCTCATTGCCTCTCTGGTATTTTATAAATTCAGATTTGTACTTGCCTTAAATGAACTGCTGTGTCATCGTGAAGTTTGTTTTCAGTAATTTTCTACGTGACATTTTGGTGGAGATGCTGGGTAGTTTAGGGAAGTTAAACTGAAGCTTGCTGAACAGACCTTGATTCCATGAGTTCTGTGGTTTAAGATTTCCTGCGGCTGACACCAAGGTACCACCACCGTGTTAAAGCCAAGACTTACAACAAAGTTGACGATGTCCCTATAGACGATAAGACGACAAGACTGTCCCTCACGCCGCAAGAAAAAGAATGTTAAAGTATCAGGGACAAATTTCCAAGAATACGAAGTAAATATTTGAAACGTTAGAAATTATGTCAGTAAAAGGGAGTTAAGCTGTGAATCACTGCTCCCATTGGGAAGGAGCTATGTAGCAAAAATCATTAATTTTCTTATAAATATGTTATGCTATTATGTAAGATTTCCTCTTTGCTTCTCTCGTATTTTATAAATATATATTTTTGCTTGCCTCAAATAAATGGCTGTGTCATCCTGAAGTTTGTGCTTCCTAATTTTGTACCTAGTGATATAATTCAGACGAACACCGTAATTCAAAGTAATTTCTTATCTTTAACATAAATCACATATTCAGGAAATTATATTAAAACAAACAAAGAATTTATTTATTTATTACCATCTTCACATAAAGCCCGCTTATATTAGAATTGGATAATTGCGTGCGAAACTATTCACAATAGTTTATACTACAGTAGAATAGGTATATGAAAATTTGTAATTTAAATTTTATTATTATCCTATTATATTTAAATAAAAACCACAATGAATGCATTCATTGAAACTCTTCACAAACACACCTTTCCAAAACGATAGATAATTCTTGGCAGGAAAAAAGGTGAAAATCATTCAAAATATTTCTTATTCACCTGAATTGGACCCTTTTGACTTTTTAAAAAACATTTTCTCAAATATAAATAATCTTAATCTTATAAGGCGGTTTGGTTCTAATTAAGAAACTCGACGAAAATAAAGAGACCAGTGAAACTATACCAGATACTTTGAAAAGTGGCAAAAATGTCTAGAGTCTTGTAGTTTTCATATAAACAGTGCTCTGAAGGTATTTATAAATACTATACATTTCAGAAGCTAGTAAATATCAATAGTTTACAATTTATTTTATGTGTTTGATAAATTAAATCTATTGTAGTATATTTCATTTTTCAATATGTTGGATTCTATGTAATATGTGAGTTTTGGTATTTGTGTTAGTATATGTGTACAGTTTGACGATGTTGTGGTATAGGCCTGTATGCAGTGTTTTAGAATTTTTTATTGCAGGGAATTTAGTTTGTCTTTAGCTTTCTTGCTTATAAACTATATTGTTTGACCATATGTTATTGTACTTCGGAATATTGTCTTGTATAAAGTTAATTTTTGTCTGCATTATAGACCCCATGCTTTCTTTATCAAACTGAGTAGGTAACCACTAGCTCTGGTAGTTTTGTCGTCGATTTCATTAATGTGTGGCATAAAGTCCAGCTTGTTAGAATTAGTAATTCATTTATTTTTGTGGAATATATGAAAAAGTATTTAATAATATTTTCTACAATTTCGGAAAAACATAAATGTTCTGCCCCTTTTAAATTGCAAACACCAAATTTCTTACTACAGTATAAGTTATCCCAATAAATTCACAATATAATTATATATTTCAATTGGTGTTAGAAGTTTATAATTTAAATATTTCATTGCCTCTCATAATTTCTGTCGATTAATATCAACAGAATAACACACCTTATATTATAAATAAATTTGAAATGATCCCTTTAGTACACGTGGTGCAGACGATGATAACCATCTTGGGTAGAAGTTATTGTCTATTATACCGAAAGATGAAGACATGTATAAACAGAGAATATGGTTTTACGGGCTACTATCCAAAGTGTAAAAGAATTCCCACACAGGGAATCGAACCCGAGCCTTAGAATGAAAGCCAGATATCCTAGCCACTAGACCACGTGGGACATGTTACACATGTGGAAAGCAGTTTGACATATGCACTTACCAAATACCAGAGCCCTGTTTCTTTACTAATCTCACTGTTGAGATAGTAGAACCTTTGTAAAATTCGGGTTATTGGAGAAATATTCTGCTCAGAAAAAGGTCCTAAAGCGGGATTCGATCACAGTTCATAAATGACGAATTTAGACGGTTTATGTTACTTGTTCAACGATCCCCTGATATCGTATAAGTATCAAATCTAGTGATTTATATAATAATTCATCTCTCTAATAATGGCCAAGCTGCTATTTAAAAATATCAAATGTCTAATATTCAAATCCGATATATTTTTAGGGACAATCCTAGTATAATTTTCTTATATAAATATATTATATACCAAGTTTATCCGAATGCCATTAAAAAGTTGTTTCAGGAATTGTACTAATATTGTAGATAGAAATATGTATAAGACGTGAGGTAGTTATATTCCATTGAACTATTCGTTAAAACCTGGTGCCAGGTTTCCCCAGAAATGTCATTTACTCCCTTTTATAGCTTCGGCAACTTTTCAAGGCTTTCATAGAGACGACGTCCTACAATTTTTAATATTGACAAGATTAAAATATTCTGAGCCTAGAATCCTAGAATTATCTTTTTTCGAGGATTTAAAGTTCAGAATGATATAAAGTAGGCTTATATTATTATATTTAAAACTTTTATATGTAATGTATACATAAATTATTTGAATAATAATTTTTTTTTTCAGAAATATAATTTGTACTTTTGCAGGAAATCATTGTATTTTACTTCAGAATCTAGTTAAAACAATTAGATATGTGTTAAATAGCGATATTTTATTTTTCCGTTCGCCATTACTCTTCATGTTTCACCTTTCCATACCTCATCCTCAAAGTTAGAAATGTCGCTATTTCTCTTTGAAAATAAATTTCGATTTTTATAAAAGAAACATTCGCGGTATAATTTCAATTTTCGTTTTACAATCATCAGCCGCGTTATATTGTATTTTAGATCTTTTACTATGTTAAAAATGTATCAATATTTATTCTTTTAAAGTTATACAAATTACATAGTATATATATCGTAGTATTTACATATTTTGGAAAGAAAATCTAAGACCATCCTGAGTATTTCATTGTGTTATTTACATATCAAATATAAATATAGTAGAGGCGCTATAATACCTATTTATACTATTCAGCGATTGGTTTTTACTATGAGTAACATCGCAAGCCAACATATAATATATAGGAAAATTCTATTGTGCAGGAATTGAGAAGTGATATTGATGAGGATATATTTATATAAATAAAGATGGCCTCTCTCGACAAAACAGACGCTTACAAACTAGGCGCCATCTATTGACCGTCTCCGCAAACTAGAGGACTCACATCAGTCACAAAGCCACAACACCAGATTTGGCAAACTGAGAATCGTCCACCTAGAGTCCATAGTTCCGGTCTAATGGTCCTCGTCAGTCTGGTCGAACTTTGATTTTACGATATTCCAAAGTGAAGAAATGAAATATTTACAATCTACCGAATAAGTGTTCAAAATGACTGGGAAAATATATAGCCAAAATATAGATGGAAAATAATTTTCCGGGAGGAAATTGATTTTTGAAAATGAAGGTTGTCTATCTCGGCGCTTAGTTTGAGCGTCTATGTTGACGGGAGAGGCAACCTTTATTTTATAGATAAATTTCCTCAGGCCATATTTCTATCTATAGAAAATATTTTAAAATATTCAGCTTATAATATCTAAAATACGCGGTTATCGCTTTATTTGATAAGAGAGATCCTCTGATAGTTACGCCAACGTGAAAAGAGAGCTTCAACATATATATACTGTTGTTAGGAGAATTATTAGTTATTAATTATAGTTAAAAATTACATTCAAATTGGCGCTTCTGTAAATTCTATAAAAATTCGAGTTTTCCTATCTATTAACCTTTTTTGTATTCAACTTTTTTCACTATTAATACAGTATTATGTAATTTTGGTAGCTAAGTGGCATTAACTTTCAACATGGTATATATATATATTTAAAAAAGATGCATATATTGGATTTCTAATTATTTTTATTGTTCCAATATTTCGAGGGGCAACTCGCCTCTCTTTATCGAGGATGTTTGTGTTTTTCACTAGAACACGCGCGCACGCGTACACCACTCTCGTTCTACAAGGCCAATGAAAGAACTGTATCCCTGACTCAACTATTGCCTTCAGTTTATATACAGCAATTAATTATATTTATATTTAATATTATAGATTATTATTTTGTCTATGGAAGATATAGAGATTTATATACAACACAGTGTAATTGTAAAAAATTGTGTTTACATATTAATTCTAAATTTAAAAAAATTTTAAAGCAAAATAAATTATTAAATAAAAGGTATATACATAGTTATTTATAAATAATTAAGATATGAATTCTTTATAAATTTCTGGAAAATCAATTTTTCTGTTTATACTCTGTTTATCTTCGGCAGAAGCCCAACTTTCTAAAAACAGTCTACTATGCTTTTCTGTTATGTTTTTGTATATAATTGTGGTCTGTTTGAAATCTGGTATATGGCTATTGTTTAGGGAGTGGTCTACTAGTAGGGATAATGGTTTGTAGTTTTTTAAAGCTGCTTTATGTTGATTGATACGATCTTTAAGTGATTTACCTGTTTCTCCAATGTATGTAGCTTGACATGTCTGGCAGGGAATTTTGTAAATTACATTGGTTGTATTTTCTTGGTTTGAAATATTTTTTGTATCTGAGTGGCGTAAGATTTGTCTTAGATTTTGTGCAGATTGATATGTTGTAATTATATTATATCTCTTTAAAATTCGGGCAATTCTCTCCGAACCGTAGTTATATGGAATAGAGCAATATCTTTTTTGAGACTCATCACGACTATTATTTGAAGGTATATCTCTCTGTTTATAAAATGTTTTTCAATAAATTTTTTTGGATAATTATTATTTATTAATTCTTTGAAAATTCTATTTCTTTCTTCTGTTGCACTATTTCTATTTGAATGGTGTGTTTCTATTCTTTTAGAAAGAGATTTCACTACGGCTATTTTGTTATGTATGGGACCAAAGGATATATCTTCTTATATACAAGTCAATGTCTGTTGTCTGTTTTGCGATAAACTCAAAAACGACTGAATCAATTGGTCCCAAATTTTGCATGTCGCTTATTATAAACCTGAGAAAAATTTTGGGCTACATTTTGTTTAGTATTTATAGTATTTTTTTTATTTTCATTTGAAGAACATGTTTTTACGCGGAGTAAATACGAAGCGAAGTAACAACACCAGGCCAATTAAGCGACCAAGGAGCGTTCTGCATTTTTGTCAAGTTGCTTGCGTACTTTTTTTTAAATATCTTTTTATACGAGTGTTACTTTTTTTTAAACAAAATTATTGAGTATTAAGAGAGAAATTTATATTACTAAGTTAGGGTAAGTGTAATTAAAAAAACACTTCACAAAATTAGCGTTACTGTATGTAAATAATGGCTTTCGTATTTTTTATGAATTTTTTTCTGGCCTTTGTTTTTTTATCTCTTTAAAAATAATCGTTTGAAATGCAGTCGCAGTCATTAGCAAACACATATTTTTGCCTAATTTCCATGTTCTCTTTTTTTTACAGAAAAATATATACAGGCCAGTATTTTGGATTGAATTTTTTTATAAACCTATCTTTCTTATTCTTACTGAGAAAATGGGCATCGCAATCAAGATCCATCGCAGTCACTCACTCAACTCAGGCAATTTCAAGGGATAATGCGCTGGGCGGGTACCTCGGGGGTTGGGTGGAAAAGCTGCCATCTATTTAAACTTTATTGATTTTGAAACAAATTGGAAGTTATGTTATTTAGAAGTAGAAAAGAATAAATAATAAAAAATGTGATATTAATATATTATATTATATAATTAATATTAAAGATAAAATATACTACAAGATTGTTGTAAGGTAAGTTATTATAAAATTCGTAACTATAAGGCAATAATAGTTAGAAATGAAAAAGAAGACTCGCGGTGGTTGATATGTATCACCAATGAGAATATGCATGGCGGAATACTAGATATCTACCTGATCCTCCAACCGATATGTAATAGTCCTTCTATACCAGAACAGGTTTATATAAGAGGAGATAATAAAATAATTTTGCTGTTATCGTAACTGAACATAAGACTGGTCAGTTTATCTAATATATTTCATTTGAACAGAAGTAATAGTTACAATGATATTTGAAGTCTGAAATATTTAAGGGCATTGATATTTTTTATTCATATAAATTTAGTTTTTGATTGCAGTAAGGACGTTAGAAGTTTGATTGATGTGTAAAAAAAAAAACATTCGCGTCTTAATGTTTTCATTTGCTGTATATATATGGCGTGTTATTGCTTTATATACTAATGGACAAAACTTAAGGTATGGAAATTTTGATGAGGTTATGATGATCTATAAAGGAAAAGGTAACCATTCCTGTCAAAGTATATGTCAAGGCTAGAAGCAATCTATTGATACTCGCATTTGCCAGCTAAACAACTCTTTCACAGATTGTGAAGGTTCAATTTGATCCCCTGTAGGTGTAATGCCTTATTTCTACAGTTATACGATAAAAAGTTTTATCTGTAAAAGCAATTATATAATGTTCACGTTATAATGGCAAACCGGAACTAAATTCTTTGAGAACCGAATTATTTATACAAAAGCCTTCCAACAAAGAGCATAATAAAAAATGGTTGTGACAGTAGTCGACTGTTGAAGAACAAGGTGTTAAAAAGTGCCTGCAGACAGCAAAGTAAACTTATGTTCGAATGGATTAGATTCTTTGTAGATATCATGGAATAAAGTCCGTCTTGGGCTGAAGAGGGCTTTTTGCCCGGAATAATATATGTGGCTTTTATCTTCATAGATATAAAATTTAAAGAAGTTGTACCTTTTAGCATGCATAACGAAATTCAGACAATATTTCTGAAAGAGATTTTAAAAAGACAG